GTCTTACAATCCCCTCCTCTCACCCAATTTCTGAATGCTGATCTTCTTTCTAGTGGTGGTATAAAGGAAGATAAAGAGGGGAAAATACTCTCTTCATGTGAATGTCGTTTTCGTGGCTGGCTACAATCGCTATTCCTTTTTGTTAACACCTACATATGTCTGTGATGATTATTCTGTTGTCCGCTTTCTAGATTTTATCACCACTGGCCTAATTTGTTCCTGTAGAGTTGATGTACTCTGTTGGTGATCCAGGTTGGCCTTATTCATTTGGACTTTGAACCCCAAACTGATCTCCTAAGCATTCATGATACCTTGTAATATGTAATATAAATTTCAGGCTGACTCTTGCTGACAGCTTTACGCCATATTCCCTTGAAGATTACATCTTTTTGACCAATGCTTCACTGATCCCCTGGGTTGTTATTTATCTACCACATCTCAACTCAGAACCTGTGGATATTAGAAGAACCTATCTTCCATACCTCTCAGGAATGAAAGACTTGAAAGAATTGTCCTTGATTCCTTTTTGGCCATACCCACAGCTCAACAGGAAATGCATACCAACCACCCCTTCCTGAATATGTCCACCCACTAGATAAGTGATTCTTTTTTAGACCCTGTAAAGAAAAAAAAGGTCCAGTTGAGTTTCCCCTACCCATCCAAATAAAAAGGTGAGAGAGAAAAATTGCTTAACTGTCCAAACACTCCTCTCTTCACTTTCCTCAAATGTCCTCACCATTGACCCTCTCTATATAGACCAGGGTTTGTAAAAATGAGTAACAGATGTTCTGCCAAAATAAAATGTAGGCAACGTAGGCCTTTTATTTCTTAAGTTTGAACTCTAGTTGCCAATCTCAAGACGATGTATCCTACTGTCAACATATACCATTAGGCTAAGCATATTTATTATAAAGTTCTCTAAAATTGTTCTTTTGTTTCTATGTCATAAGTTGTAAATTCTATCAGTTGTTACAACTAATGACTCCCTCTAATGGCAGTGAATCTCCTCATGTGGTTTGTAATTTTTTTGTGTGTGTTCACCTATAGTAGAAATAGTCTTTACTGGAAATTCCTTCTGCTCTGGACTATTGGAGGGTCCTTATGAGTCTTTGTCTTTGTCTCTACTAGGGTCCTAGAGATGTTAGGCACTGCCATCATGTGTGATATAAGTTTAAGTTTCAATTTCTTGATCCTTATTTGCCAACCAAGAATCCAAAAAAGTTCTCAGCTTCCTTGCTAATTCTCTGTACTCAAGTGGGTGGGGATTTTCCAGTTCTTGTTTATAGGATGGGTAGCATGCTACTTTATTCTTTTACATCTCCCTGGCACGTATGAGACCAGTGCCTCATCTCCCATCTCAAGTTAGTGTTAATTACCCTAGCTTTTATGTTACATACTCTGTTCTAACACAACAGTATTTTGTTAAGCTCAATTTCCTACTCTCTACTTGCACTTCCCTCTTTTTTCTGACACATGAGGTTTTTTAGAAGTGTTTTGTAGATCAGCTATGAATTAAAAATGTTTCCTTTATAGTTTATCCAGCAATGTAATATTACCAAAACAGAGCATATAGGGGGCTTACCTCATCAGATCCATGTACTGGCTTAGATGGAAGTTTACTTTTTCATTTGTACTTCCCTTCAAAGCCACTTTGAATTCTGTGACTTCAAAGTAATTTTAAATTCTAAACTATTAAGCTTAACAGTTATTCTAAGTGGCTTTTAACTCTAATTCAGGCTTCGAGACTATATTTTATGTTGCAAAGGTGACCTGTAAAGCTGGTACATTCAGCCTCTCCAGCTGTGTCCTTCAGATGCATTGAGGACAGAAGAGGCTATCCATCCTGACGGTTAAATCAGCAAGGTAGTTCATTACCTCAATCTGCACCAAAGTTAATAAGACGCATTACCAGTTGCATCCCCTTATCTTCAAAGCTCTAAGGTACCCTCGGGTATTTAAGGAGATATTTATATTTTCCCACTGGGATCTATGCCCAGAATGAAGACAGCCTGTAGTCCAGCAGGAGCTGGAAATGACCCAGATTTAAGATTTCTTTCACCTTTTAAAGTAAAATACTTAATTTCACTTTTTGTGATAAACTGTACATAAGATACCAAGCAGGTATAGAAGTTTGGTAGGCTTACAAGGCAGGTTAGACTGATACTTTTCATCAGATAGAGGCGGAATATCCTCCATCATTTATTTGTAAGGGCTATGAAGAAAGGAGAAATATGGGGAATCTGATAAATTTTTTGCTTATCCTAAAATAAAGCTTTTCTTTAGACTCTGCTTTTGGTGGTAGTGTGGGGCAGTCGCAGGTGGTGATGATTGCACCACTGTATGTCCTGTATTCATAGGTTTACCTACTACTAACAATCTCCAAGGTAATAGAAAAGAATCATTTTAATATTTTTTATCCTCTCTTGCATCTTCCTGCCTTTCCCCCAACAGACAGAAACACAATCTAGAAACTTACCCTTATTATTTCTTTGGTTTAAAAATATTTTATCACGTACATATGAATACAAAAACAATGTATTGTTCAGTTTTGCCTATTTTGAGCATTACAAAATATGGTGACCTATAATATCTAGTTTTCTAGAGCTTCCTCTTTTCACCTAACATTTTTGTGTCTGAAATTCATTCATATTATTTTGTTTGATGTACTTTTTCATCATTACTTCTGTATTCTCTGTTTGAAGGTGACATGTGTATTTATCCATTCTCTTTATGGTGGACGTTAAGGTTGTTTCCTTTTTAAAAATTATTATTACAGAAAGTGCTAAAATGATCATTCTTGTAACTGTCTTGGTTGTTCATGCAAAACACTTTCTCTGAGGATATATACCAAAAAAGTGGAGTCGTCATTTCGTTGGGTATATTAATGTTCACTTTACTGAGAATGACAAACTGTTTTCCAAAATGGTCATTCAGTGTACACACCAACCAGCAATCAATAAATTTTTTTTTGAGGCGTATTTTCTCCCAAACATGGAATTGTCAAACTTCTCATTTGTGTCAGTGAACTTGATATCTTATTGCAATCCTGACTTACATTTCCTTGGTTACTAATGAGGTTGAACATATCTTCATGTTTATTTTATATCCATATTTCTGTTTCAAATTCTGCTTCAGGTCTTCCTTTCATTTTCTATTGAGTTATTTGTTCATCTTTTAATTGACTTTTGGCATTTTTTCTGTATTCTTCTTAATCTGTTACAAATATTTTAATTGTTGTCTTCAAGTTTGAGGGCTGTTTTCTCAATTCCTTTACGGTATCTTTTGATGAATAGAAGGTTTTAATTTTAATGTAGTCAAATTCATTCATCTCTTTTCTTTGGTCACTTTTTAACCAAATGTCTTAAGATATTTTTCCTTACCCCAAGATCAGAAACATTTTCTTCTATATTTTCTAGTAGCAATCTTAATGTTTGGTCTTTTAATATATGTATACTTATATATATGAATCTATTTCACAATACGTATCAAAGGCCATTTTAAAAAATCAAATTTTTGAAATAGTAGTCATATTCTCATAATATACCTCAATGAAATAATAAGAAATTTGGAAAAAGAATCCGTATTCTTGATGATTTTTGCCATAAATTTGTACTAGCAGACAAAATTAAAAATAGCCTAACTATCCAATAAATGTGTACTGTTAAGGGAAAAAGATATAGCCACTTAAATGAAGCCATAGATTTTCTTTAATATATGTCTTCTTAGTTATGTGAAAAAATTATATGATCTAATGTTTAGTGAAAAGAGATCTATAGTTAAATTCATATTTTAATTGCTTTTAGTTAGAAAATTATTTATATATGATAAATTTTAGAGAAGGTCACAGAAAAGTGGTTGATGTGTGGGGAAATTATTTATATATTCATTTTTACATACGTTTTTATTTTTCTATTTTCCAGACTGCAATGTTGGTGAATATTTTTGTTTAAAAAAGTAAATCATTGGATCTTGAATTTATTCATTATTCATGTAATAAAATGTTTCTTTAATGATTTATAATTATACAGGTATTAAATGAAAAAAAATGACTAGTTGCATTTTAAATTGTCTGCTGCAAAGGAAAGGTGAAAGATATTAAATAAAATGCTATATTTTCAGAAGTTTTAAAAATGTAATACCAAAGTCTCTCATTCACTTTTATACCATAACATTTAATCTGTGATATGTATTTCTTTCTTAGGAAGTTTGGGCATGTTGGCATGAATTACTGTCATACTTGGAGAAGGCAAACAAGTGGCTAAATGAAGTAGAAATCAAACTTAAAACCACTGAAAATGTTCCTGCTGGAGCTGAGGAAATCTCTGAGGTGCTAGATGTAAGTTGTGAATTAAACTAAATGATGATAATTTATATGCAGTAGTGAATAAGGTCAATTACCAAATAGAAAATAAATTCAAAGTAAATCACACAGGAGAGTGTAGTTACCATGTATCACTTAGCACTGGCACTTTGGATAAAGCCTTTGTTCCCCCTAAGAACCTTCCAGGTCTCAAGGTTTTAAAGAAGGTTTAAATAACCTCTTATAGAGGACATTTGCCTTTTGTTATATCACTAACTTCTATGTAGACACGTTACCTACTTAAATCTACTGCACACCTGCAAAGACAGTTTGAATGCACAGTTTTGCTCCTTTAAAGTAGAGCTAAACAGGATGATAATATGAAGCATTATTTCCAATTTAAAAGCTACATTTATTAAATTGGAATATATTTTTAAATTATTTGAAATCACAAATCCATACCTTAGAGAATGTTTTGAGGTATTAAATGGTTGTGCTTTGATATTGGAAATATATCTTGAAAATATTCATACAATTTAAGTACATTTTCAAGTTTTATTTTGGAGACTCCTAATGAGTAAATTTTAAGAGTTTGCATATATGAGCTTTGATTTATGTTAACTTCTGACATTTAATTAATCATTCATGCTCTATGCATTTTAGTGTACTTTTGACTTATCTTCTGTATGTAATGATTATGTAGTTTTAACATATTGAGTATTTGTAGAGCTGTATGTAGTGTAGCCCCTTTGTAAATCTGCAAAATAAAGAGCATAAATTATCCAAGATATGAAGAAAATGTGAAATATTTCTTTAGACATAGTAGAATTAGAATCCTAGAACATCAGAGCAAAAACCTATAGATCATTTTATCCAACTTCCTTATTTTTGTAAGAAAATTGTAAAACCTAAAGAGATATCAAAAAACAACAGGGAGGTCTCAAGTGGACTATAATTTTGGCCCTGTCCTATTCAGAGAGTCTCACTGAATGTTCCTTGCGAATCAACAATGGGATGCATCTTTCAGAAAAGATGAAGCAAATTTATAGCAAATTAATAAAAGGATAGTGACTAGAACAAAAGATACGAAGATGCAATTATCCTATGAAATGATCATATTGTGCATGGAGCACCATGTTAAATTCTTCATACTACCTTTTAAGTGATTCATGGAAAAACCAGGGCATGTTCAGAAAGAAATAATGAGAAAAGGGAGAAAACTTAAGGCAATAATGGATAATATTTAGAAAAGAGAAGTGGAAAAAAGGCTTTCTATCACTATTTACTGTCTTATTTACTATTTTAAGTAAAATTGGTTTTGGCAATGTTGCTGCTGCTCATCCAGAAAGACACTTTGAGTAGCAAAGGGCTAGACCATCATTTGTCAAGGATGGAAAAACTGCATACCTTCTAAGTTCAAGGTTTCTATAATTGACTCCTTAATTTACCTTTCTTGTTCTCAGTCCGCTTTTTAAAAAAATGAACAGCCTGCGTGCTTTATTAGGACTTATAAAAATAATGTATCCATTAAAATAAATATTTGCAAAGTTAAGATTTTTTAGTAGTAAAATGTATAGGTTACAAGGAAAATTATTAATAACATTTTATACCCAAAAACGTGATGGCCTTTTAAATATTTTAGAGGTCATAGTCACATGTATTGTACGAACTCACTTAGGAAGTCTCTATATTTTAATTTCCCCGATATTTAACAGAAAAATATGCTGAAGTGGCTCAAAATTTGAGAAATAATAGATATACAAGAAACAATTACAAATATGCATTGGGACATTTCCATGTCTTTAAGACAAGGAAAACAACAGAGCATTGAAAGAATTGGTTAGAACATAATGCCCATCCCTTATTATATATACATGTTTGAGATCCAGCAAGATGATATTGAATCACTTGTTTTCTAGCATGCCTAAACTTGACACTGAGATTCTTTTTCCCTGTATAATCTAGCCAGACAACGTTGTCAATTTTGAGCAGTATATCAGTTATGGATTATTGGGCTGCAAATAACAGAAATTACACAATGGATTAAACACACAAAACGATCATTTCTCAACACAAAAAGGAAACTGAAGGGAGCTTACCCAGGGATGATGATAATGATAGTTCAACCATGTGATGAAGCATGCAAACTCTCTCTCTCTTCTTCTCCTTTCCTGAGCTTGAAGGCCTTCATCCTCATTTTTATTGCCTTCCAGTCCAAAAATGGCTGCTCTACCCCCAGGCTTTGTATGCGTAAAAAAGTGTAAAGGCAAATGACATTTCTTCTTGGAGACTGTTCCTTTTTTCTTGTATTTGGAAAGGAAAATTGCTCATGATTTTCTACCTACATATATTTGCTGAATCATGTCCCCTGGACACCACTAGCTGTAAGCGAAGTTGAGAAATTGAGTATTTTACCCCTCCAGGTTTTAGAGTACAGGATGTCAAGGAAGAAAGTGACTGCAAATGATTTTTTAAGTGCTCAGTTCACAATGCTGCCATAATCCCATGAAGATACATGGAGAGTGACATCATATTTTTTGAAACAAAAATGTTCCTTCATGTTTTATTACCCCAATTAAATTTTGCTTGAAATTGCTTATGACTTAATTATATGTAAATCAGAAGATACTGAGCATTTTGTGTTAATTTAATATATTTAGAAGAAGAAGAGAAATAGTAATTATTGCAAATGTGTTTCAGTCACTTGAAAATTTGATGCAACATTCAGAGGATAACCCAAATCAGATTCGAATACTGGCACAGACCCTAACAGATGGCGGAGTCATGGATGAACTGATCAATGAGGAACTTGAGACGTTTAATTCTCGTTGGAGGGAACTACATGAAGAGGTATGAAGATAAGTGAAAAATCTCTTTAATCTAATTTGCATAAATATATAGCAACTACAGGCCTTTCAGATAAGATGAGCAACACTTTAAATATTAGCTCAGCTTCCAGGTCTTATAGACAGTCCAATGCCAGACACTGGCTGAATTTTTATATGGTATTATATCATTTAATCTTACAAAAACATTACAAAGTAGGATTTTTAACAGGAAACTGAGACATATCAAGAATAGTAACATTTTTAGGTGCATATACTCATAAATAGTTAATCTAATGTTCTAAGTCTGATCTTATCTGACAACAGGGTTTTTTCCCTATCTAAGATTAACCAATATATGTGGGTATCCTTCTCTCTCTCTCTCTCTCTCTTTCTCTTTACCTTTCTTTCCCTCTCTCTCCACCCCACACACATTTTTTATGGTCATGTGTAATCCACTAATAATACACATGATTCCATTATTACCCTGAGTATTGTTTATTTTCTCCAAATAATACAAAAAAGTCTTATTTGTATTTAATTGAGAAAGGTTCATGTTTCATAATTCACGCATGGCATGATTTTTCAAATCAAAATTAAAACGAAATAATATATTTCTCCTAGTCAAACAATGTTTTGCATATTCTCTCATAAGTCAAGAATAGATTATTTGTCAAGAAGAAAACCTATTTCATAATAATAGGTTTAGTTTCATATCCATTTACTGAGCACATCTGCACGTGAGCTACTGTTCTATGGTTTAGTAATAAGTAAAAAAAAATCTATCTTCATAACTTATAGACATTGATTAGTTAAGCAAAAATTCATTGATTTCCTAGTATGTGCGGGACACAAAAACAAATAATATCCATATAAGATAAGAAGGGATAAAAAGAGAAAAAAGGGGGTGGTAACTAGGGGCATATGCAGGAAACCTTTTGATATTTACATTGGGGAGATGTTTTACTTGTTTATAAATTGGGAGAAAAGTCCTGAGTAGGAGAAGCTCCTCTCCCTTGGATCCTGAAAAGAAGTAGGGGAGGATTTGGCAGATCCATGCAAATGTGCCAACAGCAGCCTCTGGTCTTTAATCCTGCCACTGTATTTGGTGAGTAGTCTATCCATATTTTATCCGTATCAAAATAAGAGATCAGGAATTGGAAAAGGGGAATTCCAAACAGTCTCTTGGCCCTTCACCATTGTTTCACTGTTACTGGATGTGAGTCAAAGTAGATATTCCTAGCTGGCAACTAAATTGAAGGTTATTTAAATTAGGATTTTGATATAGAATGAGAGTGTGCTTTTATTTACTTTTGAATATTAGTGTCAGGTAAGAGATTGTAGTTCCAGAAAAAGATCAAGTTACATTGTAAAACTGATCTTTGGATTAGCTGTGAAATGATCTGACTTTTAATTTTTAATATTTTTCAATGTTCATATATTCTGCCCTTAAGAATAGACTACTCTCTAACCTGATCTAGGTATCAACTCTATTTATGTAATTATTTTGCAATCCTTTATTAACACAAAACTACTATGACCTTATAGTTCAAAGGTATTTAGTATGAAGCCTGATTTTTACCCAAAATACATAATTCAATTCAACAACAAACCTCGGTTGAGCATTGACTCTACTATAATATGTACTGAGTTGTTAATCCATGGAATTTTGGATCAGAAAAACTTGGGTTAGAGTAATCCCTCATATTAATCGAAGTCCAGACAGGGCACAGAAAATGCATAGTTACTTGAATTGGGAAAGTTTAATACAAAGAAGTTTTAACTATTTATGGGGAATTAATTTTTAAGAAGTAATAAAAGAGAGCTCTAAAGAATGCCCTAGGGCTGCGGGACGGTCTCCAAGGAAGGAAGGAATGGACTTGGAAAGATAGGAGCTGTACCCAATGCTGGATCCAAACTTCTTTGGAAAGAGTGTATCTACAGCCCATGAGATAGCAAAAAAGTTTAGTTGGCTGACTCAACCCACAGCTAGCCCATAGTGGCCTGAAGCTAGTGTGAAGGGAATACTGGGCCAAGGTGCTGACAAAATTCACAGGGATGTAGCCTGTGGGGGATGCTATTTGAATTTGCTGGGAAGCTGGCTGGTGTACCCGTTGGATTTGCTGGGAAGCTAACTGTAGCAGCAGCTGAACTTCGAGAAATCAGGTGGGGCTCCACAAAGCTGCCTACTGTTTTGCTACCCATGCTGAACTTGCTGCTCCGGCATCCATAGAATTTGTAAGATTCTACCCATAGAGGGTGCTGCTGAAACTCATGGGGATAGGGGAGTGGATGAAATGAGCTCTACCGAACATCCCGCAGGCCAACCCAAAGCCACAGGAGTGGAGAAAGAAGTAAAAACACACTGATGCAGAGAAACCTTTACCTCCCCATTGTTACTCCAGTGCCTTTACTGACAAAGCTTAGTGTCATGTCAGCTGGCAAAAGGAGAAATGTTCCAGTATCAACAATAGGACAATGCTGAAAGGCAATAAATTGATAACTGACACATTCCTCAACCATTCATTAATTATGTGACCTCAGGTAAGCTTCCGTTTCTTCACCTGTGATAACAGATCCTATTTCATAGGGTGCTTGTGAGCAAAATATAAAATATTGTATTGCAAGTGCTTACTACGGTGCCAGGAAGATAGTGCTATTCAATAAATGATAAACATTTTTATTTTTACTAGATTGTATGCTAGAGTTATCAACCCTCAAAGAAATGTGTGTGTGCATGTGTGTGTGTACATATATATGTTTATGTCCTGCCAAGGACAGTGATAGGTAAGCAAATACATATATTCCAGCATGAAAAAAAAATGAAATGTACATGCTTCCATTAATGAAATAAAATGCATGAGATAGAAAAAAAGGACTTTCATCATCTATTAAGTCTTAAAATTCAAAGGAGTTCTCCATTTCTACTTTAATAATCAATTAAGCAGAATGCTATAATAATAAATAAACCTGAAATAAATAAACTTGAAAACATAGTCCTGGCTATGCTTGTATTAGATATTTAGCCAATAATAACCTGAGAGTTATTTGATGATGAAAATAAAGCGTATTTGTTGCTTTAGGAGTTTCATGAAAACCACATTGTATTAGAGATAATATCCTTCTCAAATTCTATTGTACTGGTCTTTAATAAGCTGATGTGGCTTGAAAGATATAATGTTGAGTTAAAATTATAGGTAGTAGTGGGGCTTTCATATTTCTTAGTCTATAAGCTGGGCATGTTGATCGATTCCAAACTACTTAGGCAATAAAGGAACACCTAATTATTTGTTAATTAAATCAACCCTTTGGATATTCCCACTGACTATCTAGTTAAAAAGACTGGTGTTTTGATGCAGTAGATGGAGCCTTGGGATACATTATTTGAGGAGCTGAAGAAACAAAATGATTACAGTAACAGAGTTATCAAATTGATTTTTTTTAAAAAAATCATGTTGTACATCAATGTGTTATAGTCAAGAATAGTGAATTTGTTTTAAACTATAATTTTCTTGATTTTTTTGGTTGGCTAAGGAAAAATAGCACTTCCATTAATAAACAAAGTGCCCTTTCATTTGAAAATGAGCCTTAACCTATTTTCTTCTCAATTAAATGCCTATGTCAGAGGTTTGTGGGGTTTTTTTATTGCCTACCTAATGTTTCTTATAGCTACAATTATGCAGAACTAAGGTAACATTCAATTGCCTGTTAAATCAATCAAACAGCCAGAGTTTTTATTGCCTATGAATATTTAAAAGAGATACGCTAGATCTCATTCCTAATTTCAGAGTGTGAGTTTGCATTCAGATAAGTAATAAATTATTTCCATCACTTTAAAAGGTGTCTTTCACTCTTGATAATCATACAGCACTACATTTTCTACTCACAGTAATGATTTGAAAGATGGTTATCAAACCAGGAAACAGCTCCAAATGTCATACCAAATCATATAATTTTTACAACTATTATAATAGCTTTATTATCAACCAGAGTAACCAAGCTACAAGAGATGTTTTAGTAATACAACAAAGTGCATAATAATAGTAATAATATATATGATTACAAAGGCCCAGGTACTGTTCTAAAAGTTGGATATGTATCTTCTCCTTTAGTTCTCACAATTACCTTATGATATAGGGCCTTTTATATCCCCATTTTATAGAAATGGAAAGGATATCAAAAGGCACAAAGTTAGGAAGAGGCTATAGAGTATTTACACCAACGTTCCTTTGCTCTTTAAGCCTGGGCACATGACCATTTGACCATATTGCTTCCAATCTCTGTGACCCTTTGCTTAAATTAAAAATAAAAATTTCCAACTTAGAAGCTGGAAATTAACTAATTTCCCAGTTTTAAGAAAAGCTTGCAACGTGAGCTTAAAAGTATTAGGGCTGACTAATTAAAAGAAAACATTTTAGCATCTTGAATATTAAAACCACACATTTAGAAGTCCAAAGCCTTTACCGGTTCTCTCGTTTAGTGATTATTTCATTTCCCATTTCTATTCCTTTCAAAGCTATCTTTAAGTTGTTTCACCTGACATGAAATAGCAGAGTAAAAGAAAAGAGATAAATTCGAAATTGGTTAATTCTGCTTTAATAGTAAGCTTCATGATAGGTGGCTAGAGGGACCTATTAATTGTTCCAGGTAATTATGACTTTGAATTGTTCCCTCAGTGTCACATCTGCTTTAGCATAGATAGACCAGAATGGAAAAATAATGATTGAAGGAATGCTGTAAAGTAATCTAGGAAAATAAGTGATAGTATATGCATCATGAGGTCTAATTTTATTGGAAAGCCATTTGCCTAATAAGAGAATATGTTTATTGTTAGAAAATATCCATCTGTAATAATAGTTAACCTTTTAAATACAACTAAAGAGGCATTGATTGGATACAAGAATAAGAATGTCTAACTTTTATGGTTAAAATAATTTGATCTAAAATACTAGATAAAAATACCATATAATCTGGAGGGAAGTTATTAGAATATTCACAAGTCCTTTTATACTTTAAAAAGAGTGT